GCGGGAGGGGGTTCCTCCAGCTCTCAGAGCCGCTCCTGGGCATCTGCTTCTCGCTCTTGTGGATGACCTGTTCATGCTCTGAATCAGACAGAAGAGCTCCAAGGTGCTCTGGTTCCAGACGGTGACACGGGAGGGCCCTGTGCACACCCCTCCGCCTCCCGTACGGACACACTGTGTCTGCAGCTACAGCAGAACAGTTCCCTTGAAGAGGAACCCCCAGATGAGCTCAGCGACTCCCAGAATCTGGGTATAGGAGACACAGTCACCGGCAGCCCCACTCCCAGCACAGCAGCCCACAACTGGAGATGGGCACACAGCCCCCAGCTTCTCCCCGCCGAGCAGGTGGTTTGAACCCCACATCGGGCACCCCGACTTTTACAACCTCCGTCTGAGAGATGGACCCCCCAAACATCCAGCTTTGAAAGCCAGCGCGTCCACAAGACCCACAAGCTGTAGCAGATTGGGAAACGGATCTTAAAGTTTCTGGACCCCGAGCTAAGGTCCCAGGCCCAGCACGTGCCCAGTCCTCCTGGGAAGAGGCCTGTTGCTTATCTCAGGAGCTGCAGCCTGAGGGGCCCCTGCGCTGCTCTCCGAGATGGGAGGCGGCCGCACCGTCTCTGCCCACCCCACCTTTCCCCGGAAACCGGGTTGTGCGCGTTCGGGTTTTTGCGGCTCCCCCTGGGGGTACCCCCCATCACCTGGTTCTGGGGGCCCTCAGGCTTGCATGCCCGGGTCCCTCGGGCAGCAAACCCCCAGACTTTCCATGAAAGAGGCCAACTGGAGTCCTCTCTGGAGTCCGGAGGGCCCATGGGTGTCACATCTCTCCCTTGCCTGGTGTCTCGGAGAAGGGACCTGTGAGCCTCTCCAGCACCCCCGCCCTTGGGTCTGCCACCCAGAGGACATGTCCCTTGAAGCCTGGCTCTGATGGCAGCCTTGTGTTCACGGACTCACTGGGAAACAGTAGCAAAGAAACACTTTCTAACTGGCTAACACCCCGGGGCTCAGAGCAGAAGTACCAGACAGAAACGCCCATCTCCCAGGCTCCCCTGAAAGGGGTACGTTCATGAACTTTAAAAGCTGCTGCCTGGGGGTCCAGCTTCCAGTCAGCCTGCATCTCAGTGCTGATGGAGACCCTCCCTTCAGAACACCCCCACTACCCGGGCCTCGGAGAAGAAAGCAGGCTGCTTGCACAGAAGGAGGTTTGAGAGCCAAGTCCCCCTAAAACCAGGTTCCTCTGCCGGGTTTACGATTAACTTCTCTACCCAAAACCTTATTCCTCGTCTTATCCTGCCTCTGTTTCCCACAGGATCGAGGGGTATCCCCAAAAGGGAGGACTGAAACCACACAGGACTCTCCCAGGTACAGAAGCCCTTCCCTGTCCCTGTTTCTTGTTTGTAGAAAAAAGGCTTCAGTCTCCTAGGCCTCCCTGAGTCCCACAGAGCGGGCTCAAGGCTAGAATAGACCCAGGACTGCCGGTTCCTCCCGAAGGGATACACAGAGCAATTGGAGGCACAGCTTTGAGCTGTTCTCCAGAAAAGTGGGCCCCCACCCAGCAGAGGACGGGAGCTGCACGCTGGCCACCAGCTCGTAGAGCCCAGATTGGCTGGAACCAGAAGGTTGAGATTCTTGAAACATCACCCTGTTACCTCACCACCAACCAATCAGAAGGTCCACGAGCTGATCACACATCCTACGACCCTCTGTCCTAAAACCATCTTTGAAAAGCTTTGTCTTGAGCACCATCGTGGAGACGGGTCTTTGGAGCATGAGCTGCCTGTCCTGGCTCGGCCCGGCCACAAACCTTTCTCTGCTCCAGACTCCGGCGTTGCTGTTGGTTTGGTCTCGCTGTGCACCAGGCACGCAAACTTGGGTTCGGCAGCAGTTTCTGGGGCACCAGCCGGCAGCCTGTGCCCGCGGCAGGTTGGCCCTGGCCAGGGGCTGCCCCTTCCCTGGGTCCCAGCAGCTGCTGGGGTCATTTTGCTCCAAGGAACCCCGAGGCGGAACATCCTGATGTCTGGTCAGCCTCCGGTTCCAGCTCGGGTGAGTCAGTCCGGCCGCACAGGCTGGGACTCCCCACTCTGTCCGGGCTCACGCCCTAGCGGGAAGGGGGCCCGTCTGGACCATTCCCTTCTGGAGCCGAGCTAGTCTGGTTCGGAGGCCTCGGCTCGGAGGGGGAGTGGAAGTGCCGGGCTCTGCCTGTCCGGCCTTCGGTCTGTGCGGCCGTGTCTGTCGGTGGTGCGTTCGTGTGTCACCATCAGTTCTTGGGTTTTTGACAAAGTGGAAACTACTAGCTCCAGCCCTGTCTTCCCGGGTCCTGGAGGCTGAGCAGGACAGCCGATCCTTACAGGCCTCAGTGAGACCGTCTGTGTCTCTCTTCCCGGTTGTGACCCTCGTTAGGGGGCCCTGGTTGGACTTTCCTAGGAGGATCCTGGCAACTTGAATTATTTGGGGGGGGGTGGCGCCAGCTCAGTACCTGCAGAACCTGCGTGTGCTCTGCTAAACTACCCGCTGGGAGAACTCACACAGCAACTGTCTAGAGAAGGGAACTTCAGTGAGCTAAGAGGAGCCGAATCTGTCTCCAGCAGCCCTGTTACAGGCCTCTGGGCAGCTGGGGACAGAGCCTCACCCCAGAGCTGAGGTTGTGAGCAAGCCACCATCAGTCCTCCCAGGGGCCCATTAGGGTGCATCCTGGGTCTGGAAACTCTGTGACTGCCCCACCAACGCAAGAACAACTTACTTCCTTCTGTAAGACTGTCTGGCCACGACACCAGCTAGGTGAACAGGAGAAACAGCCAGAAAGCGGCTCCCTAAATTACACCACCAGGCTCCAGCTAGACTCACTCTGCGAGAGAGGAGAGACGTGAGATTCCCCGTGCCCAGTGCTTTATGGTCCTGGACTAGGGCCAGGGGCTCCAGGAGGAATGCAGGCTTAAGTGTACTCGGTGGTCTAACTTGGAGAGGAAGACCATACTCCCTGTTTTGAAAGGACCCCCTGAAGACCCCTTCAATTTCCCTTTGCTGCCCGTGCTCCCAATAATTACGGCCAACTTCCAAAGATGGCAGGAGGGCCTGATACCCCTGCCTCCCAGCTGGTTGAAGGGGTCTTTCGGGTTTTCAAGAACCAAGATGTGGCAGAAGAAAAAAAGAAGGCCAGAAGGTGAGGAAGCCGGCTGCCCTGTTTGCAGTGGGGCTGGGGGCCACCCCAGGCAGCCCCGGAGGAGAGAATGAGAAATGTCATGGGTGAGCGCCCTCTGCCCCCAACGTGGGACACAGGGCCACCATCCAAGCTGGGGCCTCATCGGTGCACTTAGTGGGAGGAAGCAGGGATGCCATCACTGTCCCCAGAGGGCAAGGCCTGAGCCAAACCCCTTCCTTTCAGCTCCCGCTCCTCAGCTGGTCCTCAAAACATCCCCTCAGCCTCCCCTGATGAGCCCTGGGTTACCTTAGAAGCAGGAGGAGAGCCGGGGGAACTGGGGGTAGAGAGCAGCTACCCACCACGTTCCTGGTGTTAACAGCCCAAAGGGGCCTCCTCTCCAAGAGGGAATGCGACATCAAAGAGGTGTCAGGGATGGAAGGTACCAGGAAGTCTCACCTGAAGATGCCCCAGACCAGACTGACTTGTTGACCTAAAGCTGCTTCTGCACACGGCACACCCACACGGGTCCACAGCACCCGGACCTGGGGCAGAGCTGAACACAGTTCACCTCCAGCCACTCCTCCGAGGCTGGGAAAGGGGGCTGTTTTAGCTAGGGCTCGGAAACCAGCACCGAGAGTCGAGGAAAAAGAAGAAACGGGAATACATTCCAGGCAGAAAACACACTAAAAGCTCAGAAAAATACCTTGATGGAACAGAGATTAGTGATTTACCTGATAAAGAGGCGTAAATATGCTCACCATGCGGGGATGAAATAAAAATCCACATTCTAAGGCCAGAGAAGAAAAAACGTAAAAGCGATTTCTCTGCCCGTTTGGGCCCCTCCCTCCCCTTGAGTGTGCACTGTGCATGTGTACTGTGGTTAACCAACCCCCATGGCCGCCTCCGGGCACCGGCGTGTAGCTCCCTGGAAGGTCACGTTCCTTCCTCAGTCCTGTCCGGGGTCACACCCACCCCCC